AAACTGGTGACAGCTGACAGGTCCGTGTTATTATAATCCATACAATAATTATTTCCCAAAGATAAATATAGAACACACTACACACGCATTCACTATTCATAATGTTTATACGAGTATTGTTAATCCTTATGCAGTTATGGACACRGTACACAGTTATTGTAAATTAATGTGTTTTATTTTGAACTGTGTAGTTAACTTGTAGCTGTAGGTACCTACCTATCACCTATGTAATATGTTCACAGGTTTAYACAAATTACAATAATTATGCCTACTAAGTTATAACTTGATATTATATTATTAATTATTATACACCCCAGWGCCAACAAGCACCCACCCACCCAATAGGTAGGTTCAAATGAACCACCTAAAGTACGCACTCGGCGCCACTGCATCAAAGGCCCTCCAAGACTGTTCTATTATTTTACCAGTCGCCATTGATTTAATTAAATCTAMAAAAYRACAGCTTTATAATATGCGCAATGATGAATTTTGGGATGATGTTACAAAAAAAGCAAAAACTATTGCTGTTMAAAATGGTATCAACATAAATAAAAAAAAGAATCCAAGAAGACATGTTTGAATAAGAATCTATTAGAATTTTATGTTGAAACTACGGTTGGTCAAAGTTCTAAGAACAAAACTTCAGAGTTGAGTAAAGACTTGAAAATCATTTTTTTTTTCAGCAGTTGACAAGTATGTACCTATTGTACCTACAACTAAAATAATCTAAAACTTCAAGTATTGAATTTGTTTATATACCTATATATATTTTTCTTTTTGTAGATTTGTTAATGAATTAGATAAACGCTTCAATGATACAAATAACAGCATTTTTTTAACTAGCAGCATTTTCCTTTCCTCCAGGCCTGAATATTTTAATTTTAAATGTCCATTCCTTGATGAATTTTTACAAAATTACAAGCACTTTAATATTAATACTATCAAACTAAAAGTTGAATTTCTGAGTGCTAGAGAATTACTTTAGGTTGATTCAAATACCAGACATGAACTATATTCCATTTCAAAAATATTACTCCAATTACCTCAATGTTACTCTGAAACATTAAAAATAATAACCATTATTTATGACCTTACCACCAACCAGTTTCCACCGCTTCTAATGAACGCTTTTTTTCATCACTTAAGCAAATTAAATCATATTTAAGATTAACTGAGGGTGATGATCGTCTCAATGATTTATTGGTTGTTGCTGTTGAAAGTGATGAGGCCTCAACTATTAATTTAGATGAAGCACTTCGCATTTTTGCTAGTATGAAGAATCGTCGTTACCCACTTATAAGCTAAGCAATGCACAACTATAATGCTTTTAGAAATAGTTGTTTCTTTAAATTGTAATAATAATAAAGAACAAAGAAATATTTTAGTCTTTAATTCCTTTTTTTTTATTATTTGCTTATGCTTATTGCTTTTTTAAATTTAAGTATTATAATTTTTTTATGTTATAATTCAAATAAGGTATACTTAGTGAAACAGTGCCACAGTTGTGGTACCTTAATGCATATTTTATTGGGAAACTATTATTAATATTAAACAAATATTATTAATTATTTGGTTTTCAGATTAAACTATACCTATACA